TAGCCTCACCAAAATGGACAGAGATTTATTCCCCGATGTTTTACAGTCTGACTTTTTTTCCGCAGCCTTTTCCTTCTTCTGATATTGATTGGGATGCAGGTTTAGTGCCGTTGTGCAGATTGCGCTCAGGGAGACATATACAAACAGGTGAACGACGAGAATTTCCCCTCCTTTATTCATCAGCCTGACACAATAGCCCTCCAGAGACGGATTAAAATATACTAAGTTTTATTGTGTTTTGTCAGAGTTATTAGTTCTCGGCTTCCCTCCTCCAAAATTTTAGCATATCTTCCAGTCTCAGGGCAGCATTTGAATCTTCTGCTTTATGACTCACTGTGCTGTAATTCTCAAGTTTCACTTTTTAGTGTTTTTAGACGTAGGGTGAAATAATACCCACAAAGGTGCCACTTTTGCAGACTTCTGAAAATGCTAGTACCAATTGTTAAGCAAGCATGAAGTCATGCAAATCAGAAAGAAAGCAGTGCTCAATATTCTATCCATCCAGCCAGACATCCGTGAATATTGATAATGTGATTTCCTCTCCTCTCCCCTCCTCTTATTTCCTCTGCTTTCCTCTCCTTACCACTTCTAATCTCCATTCCAATCTTCTTCTATCCTTTGCGCTTCTCTTTTCACCATGTAACTTATCTTTTCTCCTTTCTTCTTCACTCTTCTCCCCTCCACTGCGTTGTTTTCCCTTTCCTCTCCTCCTTCTCTTCACTTCTTCCCTCTCTTCCCCTCTCCCTTTCACCCTTCTTCTTACTTCTACTTTCCCTCCTCTTACCCTTTTCTCCCCAATCCTTTTCTTTTTTCATCTCCCCTCTTCTGTTCTGCTGTTGTCTGCCCTCCCCTTTACTCTTCTCTTCTCCCTTCCTACCCCCCTTGCCAACCGCTCCTTTCCCTTCCAATCTTCTTCTCTGTTGTCTCCTCTCTTCTTATATTAGGTAATATATTGGTGCTGGAGAGATGGGGTTAAATATTACAGTCCCATAGGTAGTAGGGAGGTATTCAGCTATTAGCACAGTCATGAGGCAGCACCCTATAGAGTTAAGCTGGACTAAGAGGTAAGTAGTTAGCAGGCATGGGTACATAGGGACGTCATCCAGATGAGGTTCCAGAGGCAGAGAAGAGGGGGTAGATGGACATCTGGGGGCCATCTGTGTCTCGTGTTCAGGCTGGAACGCAAAATGCCTGTACATGCTGCAGAGGACTCAATGTGAGTCAGGAGACCTGGCTTTCACCACAGCTGTGGCCCCCAGATGTCCATCTACCCCCTCTTCTCTGCCTCTGGAACCTCATCTGAATGACATCCCTATGTACCCATGCCTGCTAACTACTTACCTCTTAGTCCAGCTTAACTCTATAGGGTGCTGCCTCATGACTGTGCTATCCAAATAGCTGAATACCCCCCTACTACCTATGGGACTGTAATATTTAACCCCACCTCTCCAGCGCCAATATATTACCTATTGTTACACACTCAAGCTTTCATTGTGCTGCGGAGAGACCTCTATCTATTTTAATAGCTGAATACCTCCCTACTACTTATGGGACTGTAATATTTAACCCCACCTCTCCAGCGCCAATATATATTCTTAAATGCTCTTCTCTATTGCTCTCCTCAGCCCTCTCTCTCCTCTGCTGTCCTCTCAACTCTTCCCTCCTGCTCTCTTCTCCCCTCTTCCCATTTACTCTCATCTCCCCTCTTTTCTTCTGCTCTCCTTTCCCCTCTTTTCCTCTTCTCTCTTCTCTCCTCACCTCCTCTGCTCTCCTCTCCTCCTCCCCTCTCCTCCTCTGCTCTCCTCTTCTCCTCCTCTACCCTCTTCTCTCCTCTCCCCTCTTTTCCTCTCCTTTCCCCTTTTCTCCTCTGCTTGTCTTATGATGCCCCTACCCCCCTTCCCACCTCCTCTCTCCTATTCTTCCTTTTCCTGTCCCCCTCCCTACACCTTCCCTCTCTTTGGCCTTATTTTCCTCTCTCCTTATCTTTCCTTTATTCTTTGATGGATCTATCAGTCTCTTTATTTCTTTGTCTATTTTCCAATCACAAAAATGATACTACAAAAAAACAAAAAGCCATACTCAAAATGAATGAAATGAAGGGGAGAGAAGAAGGAATGAGAAGAAGGGGAGAGAAGAAGGAATGAAAAGAAGGAAGGAAGGAATAAGAAGAAGGAAAGAAGGAAGGAAGGAAGGGAAGGAAGGAAGGAAGGAAGGAAGGAAGGAAGGAAGGAAGGAAGGAAGGAAGGAAGGAAGGAAGGAAGGAAGGAAGGAAGGAATGAGAGGAAGAAAGGTGCGAGCAACTGCATTTTTCTTTCCAGCAAACTTGAACCGATACATCAAACTGAATAACTGACTGAAGTTCATGAATCATCTGAAGACCTGAACCAAGTCAGAGTCCCTCGTGCTGACCACTGTGATATGTGATGTAAAAAATCATTTAGGAAGATTAAGTTATGGTGATGTTTTTGCTTTATTTATTTGATATAACGGGAAAAGAAAATCTATTATTGACTGCAGAACCTGGCCTAATGTGTTGGTTGAGCAGCTCGGAAATAACGCCAGGGTAAACGCAAATTGATTTACTGGAGCAGAAGGGAATTTGGGAATGAACCTTAAGAAACATCGGTGTTAAAAAGCAATTATCAGAGCACCGGGGATCCGGAATAGTCTCTGAATACAAGAAATAGCAGAGGGATTCTATTATCATTACCTCTGCCGGCCCCGAGCACAAAGTGTTCTCTTCTCCTATAGATCAGGTTAAATAAAAAAAGACACAGAGAAATCTGTAGAGAAGCCTGTATATCGAGAACATGCCCTGCCTGTCGACATCTTTGTGAAACTTTTAACAAGCTCTGTTGAATAACATCCATGAAATCCTTCACAGTCTTGTCAAGGAATGTTTGGACATGCATCAGTTCAGTATTATTAGAAAAACAGAATATGGCTCTGTAAAGTTGTCAGTGTCCTGATTAATGCTGGTGCATACTACAACATGTACTCTGGGTGCAGCCATTGTAAAAACTCACCTTCAGCGTTTAGGCACCAAGCACTGGTAAGAGCTCCAGACATCAGTCCATTTCTGCTACCTACATTTCCAGGGAATTGGTAGGGGCAGAATTGCTGCCTGACAGCATGGATTAACATATATACCCTAAAGTGGATATGAACTTAAAAAGTTAAAGTGATATTAAAGATTCTTTTTTTTTTTTTAAATAACCAACATGTGATACTTACTTGCTTTGTGTAATGGTTTTGCACAGAGCAGCCCTGACCCTCTCTCTTCTCGGGTCCCCTGCCAGATCTACTGGATCCTCCCACTTGACCAGTACCCCCAATAACAAGAAGCTTTCTATGGGGACACTGGTGCATGCTCGCTCCCAAGCACTGCTCCGTGCATCCATAAGACACATAGAGCCGTGGCTCGACACCTCCCCTGCTCTTTCCTCATTGGCTTACTGGCTGCAATTGACTTCCACTGCTGTCTCAGTCTATGAGGAGAGAGAGTCACGGGACAGTTGAGACTCCCATGCACAGTGCTGGACTGAGAGGGGGCTCAGGTGAGTAATGAGGGGGCTGTGGGAGGAGCAGCACACAAAAGGTTTTTTTACCTTCATGCATAGAAAAAAACTAAAAAAACCTTCAGCCTTTACAGCCACTTTAAAATTTGCTATTTATAGAGGTCATCTAGAAGTATTAACTATGTCCAAGCAGCACCCTAAGCTCATTCACATGGGTGTCCAGCAGGGCAGTAAAAACAGGCAGTTGATCTGTGGTTTGACCACCCACCTAAAGAAGGATATGCAAATATATGCCACATGCTGTGGCCATGATGCTTTGCAACTATGGCAAAAATGAGCCAGCATTTTGCAGTTGGCAGGCATTCTGTCACCAAGCATAAACCATTGAAGTGTGTTGAACTGCACACCCTGGAAGATGTCCGTTTGGTGATGAAACACGTTGGCTGGAGCCTCCCAATTGATGTAATTGCATACCGGAATTTGACCGGAAGCGCACACTATTTAAGCCAGCTGGGTGATTTTATCTTTAATGCGCATTGTTTATTCTTCTTTGTAAGTGCAATTTTAATGTAATAAATATATTTGGTGATTTTCTACACTATAAAGAGTGTGTATACGCTTGTTTTCGCATGCATCCGAGCCATTGGGAAACCTGAGAAGCCTATTTGCTGAGTCGCCTAGAAGGATATCCTTGAGAATGGTAGGATGCCATTGATGCTTGCATATACTGTTTGAGCCTTTATTGACTACTGTTAACAAGGGGGTCAGTTTAGTTCAGTAAGCCCTTGACAATATTCTGGTGACAGTGAAAACTGTTGACACTCTCAGGAAGAAGGAAGATATTACTCTACTTACTTATTTGGTTATATCTTTTACACATGTAGCACTACCCCCTTAGGGGCCGCTGGATTTGAATGGGTTCCCCTATGCTCTGCACAGCCAGGCAACATGCATTTTCCAACCTTTGCACATTGGACTCAAAGAACAGTCCTTGAGCTTGGTTCTGTGATTTTATTAAGGAGTTAAGAACTTGGATGCAGACTAGAGGTATATGGGATGCCCGAGCAACTGCAGAGCTTGAAGACTAGCTCCTTAGCAACTGTGTACAAAAATGTGAATAACAACAGTTTCTTTCCTTGAAGAGCACCAATAGTTCTTTATAATGTACCTCCTCAGACCCCGTATGATTCCTTCTCCTCACCCAGTTGCACTGAGGGTATTCCCTGTGTTGATGAGAAGATGAGAAGCTAGTTGGGTCTTGCACTTGACTGCCCTCTACCCTTATCTAGGAATGACTTACTGGCACAGCTTTATGTATTTCAAATAATTTATTAGGCCAAGAGTAACCTAAAAGAAGAGAGGATTATCAAGGGCATCGTCATCTGAACCAAGGGTCCTTCTATGTAGCATGCTGGCAGTAGATGGGTTTTTCTACTTAGTCTGTGGCTGCTTTCTAAAGAAAATTAAAGTAGTTGTGAAGGCTGAAGGTTTTTTACCTTCATACATTCTATGCATGAAGGTAAAAAACGAGCGGACTGACAACTCATGGGAAATCATGGAGCCCCTGTGTCCTCGCCCACACTCAAACCACACCCAAAAAAGCCTATGAAAGGTACCGGGGGCATCTCATGGGGCCCCCTACTGACCCCAGGCCCTCGGGCAGTGCCGATGCAGCGATGTGAATGACAGACTCAGCTGTCCCGGGTCCCTGCCTCCTCATTAGCTGAGACAGCAAGCGGTAGCCATTGGCTCCCGCTTGCTGTCAATCACAGCCAGTCACCCAATGAGGGGAGAGGGGGCGGGGCCAAGCCGTGGCTCTATGTGCTGCTTGCTGTGGGGGCACCTAATAGACAGGAGGAGCCAGGAGAGCCTGCGGGGGACCCAAGAAGAGGAGGATCCAGGCTGCTCTGTGCAAAACCACTGCACACAGCAAGTAAGTGTAACATGTTTCTTAATTTACAAAAAAAAAAAGAAAAAATGATCCTTTAGAATTGCTTTAACTGTAAGACATCGAATGCCTTTTGTTTTCAGCATCTTGAATGCATTTAGCTGATTTAAACAAAAAGTGAGAAAGTTCAGATGGGCTTTAAGTTCCATTATATAGCTCCTGCTTTTTTAATTGCCTTGTTTATGGATGTTTGAAGCAGTTTAATTTACACTGAGAAGATCCCCATTTATTTAAAAAAATGCTGGCATTTGTAGAAAAGAATGATTTATCTGCATCCTTGAAATATATTACTTCATTCATCTTCATCATATCAGCACAATAAAAACTTAGATTTAGTTCCTTTCAGTTAATTTAACAGTCAGAACTTTGGTGAGGATAAAATATGTAAATAATTGGGAAGATACAATAAGCCCCATAGCCACCTAGCTCTGTCTAGAGTTTTTCCAACATTCTACAAACTGTTTGTAAGCCCTAACATTGAACTTCTCTAACTTGCTCCCCTTTGCTCTGTTAAATATGGCATTAAAAGGTTGTGTTATTTTTGCTTGTTTGAAAAAAAAAAAGGAGAGAGGGGGGTGTTCTGTAGTCCTAACATACTTCCTGTCCTTCAGTGACACTGCTACTCCTCCATGGATTGCGTTCCGTGCGTGAGCATTGAGGTGAGGTGTCACACCAGGACAGAAAGTATATTTCTGGTTAGGATCATCAGGACACAGTAAAGAAAAAAACCCTGAAAAAAAGAAAACTAATGCAGACACCACATCTCTGGACTGGTAAGCTGCAATATAGTACATTTTCATTCTTGGGTTTAGGAGAGTGGGGAAGGGGTGAGAGGGGCACCTAAAAAACAGGAGGAGATACAGTCTGTAATTTTACTGACTTATCCAAGGCAGCCAGACCCTACTGCATTTCTAAGGACAATTCCTACTTATATACAGTAAGTCACTTCATATATAGGTAGATCAGCATTGACAGATAATTCCCAGGAGGACACCAAAGGCGGTAGGGAAGATTTCCAGCAAGAACAACAAAATGATTTCTTAGTGTAATATAATAAGTATGAGATTACCAAATTTGTGTGATAAAACCTCTGTACACACAGAACATATGTATATATGTATGTAGCACTCTCTTAATTAGGTAAATGTAGTTCATTTTGGCTCCTCTATATTCATTGGAAAAGCTGTTGATTTCTTTTGGCGGTTCTTGGTTTCCCCAGGCTGCAGGTTTCATTGCTCCCCCCTGCCTTCTGGAGACTTATGGAATATAGAAGTTGAGAAAGGCATATGGGTAGCATGAATATTTATTTTTCTGCAGCCAATCCCTGGGGAGGAGTGCCCACTAGGTGGCTGAAGAGTACATAAACAATCTAGCCATGTTCTAGTCCTTAGTCTACCCTGCAGAAGAAGTCCTCAGCCTTAACCCCTCTTGGCAAACTTCTGGAGTTTACTACACTTTCATTGAGATCCCAGTTGTGGTATAGCTGAGGGGCCTACTTCTCCTTTTTTTAAGCTAAGGAAGGAAACCCTCATCTAAGGACATGGTCTGGAGAGCTCACTGAAGGGTGCTTGGTGGAAGTTAGCAGGTCCCTGGCTGTCCTGTGGCATTGTTTGCATTAACCTCTCTCTCACTGAAGAGTGTCTAGTAGATATTGGAAAGAGGTATCCGGAGATCCTTTGGCATTGTGAATACTGACCTGAGCTAAGGGTCCTAGTGACTGTGTGCTGTTTCTTTTGGGTAGAAGAGCCAGTGGTAGTCATGACTGGGATAGCTTTTAAAAAAAGACCCAGTTCTGCCATCTGTACTTATTCCTGCATAGATACTTTTTAGAGAGACTTAGCAAAGTGTAGCGTTCTCCTGCAAATGTTCAGTATATCTGGAGTATCCTCTATCATGCTACACTCTATCCAAGTTCTTCAGCAATGAAAATTCTAAAAAGACATCCCCTAGACTGTTTACTGAGCCAGAGTCAATGAACTGTTTGCTGTGTGCCTGGTTGCCTCTGCACTAGTTTGGGAAAGAATCGATTAAATCACAGTGGTTCCTACTGGGGTAGCTCTATATGTACCAGGGTCCACCAAACAGTAGGGACAGATAGAAGGGACTGAACCAAGTTGTCTCTACAGGAGTTTTCAAAGAAACCCCCACAATCCTCTCTGTCTAGACTGGAGATATCATTGCTCCATTGTTTCCACAATCTATCAATTTTAGGTGAGCACATACAGACAGGGGAGGCATACAAATATGACAAAGATTTTTGGAACACTCTACAAGAGATCATTCTCTCCACAGGGTCAGCTTGAAGGACAGGTGGAAGTGGAAATAGGAACCGAGTAGCATGGCACAGTTGAAAGGGTCGGAATAACATCCAGTTGGGTAAGTTAAATTTAGATACCAATTCCTGAAAAGTAGAAAAACACCCATTAAGCATGATGTCCTGAAGGGTTTTTAAACCAAAACATGCCCACATCTGGGCTCCAAAATAGTTTTGAAATGTGGCAGTAAAGGGTTACCTCACAATGGCTCTGGGTTTGGATAAACGTTAATTGGATTTGTTGCCAGTCTTGTCTCTTGTCTGTTTTCAAATTGACAACTAATGTCCTTACAGGGTAGCTCCACTTTCATGAAAAAAAAAAATATAGCAAATAAAAAAGTGGTTAACACTTACACCTAGCAACAGTAGGGTCATTGGTTTTGAATCCCAACCATGGCACTACCTGTATAGAGTTTGAATGTTCTCCCTGTTCCCGAAGACATGCTGGTAGGTTAATTGGCTCCTGTCTAAATTGGACCTAATATGTGTATACATGAGTTAGGGACTATGTAAAGTGCTGCCTAAATTGTCAGTAATATATAAATACCTAGAAAAAGGAACATAGCATATACAATTGATACGCAATTCATATTGTACTTTATTGCTATTAAAAATTACATTTCCATTTCAACCTGCCACTGCTGTAATCTGTAAAATCTCATACAACATGGCAACCTGGAGGTGTTTTTGTGCTTGTGTAATTGGCTCACTGATTTTCCCAGGAGTCAGTGTTACAAGATTTATTGGTGGTCTGAGTACAAGGTATGACAAAGATGCAGCCTGTAGTATCTGTATAAAGAGAACAGAAAATACATGTTGCTCAATTGCTCATTTCGAGTTTAATGTGTCAAACAGAAATGGATCCCATTATACAAATAATTACTTTAGCAATGCAGGCCACATGAAAAAGTGCATCAATTTGTGATAGAGTTACCATTACTAACATTTAGAATACTAAACAGAAAAAGTGAATGTCAGAACAAACACAAAACCGAACAAAGATAGTATAAACCAAATGTGACTAACCTGTATCAAGAGCAAAACAGAAAACACTTGCTCATTTCAAGTTTAAAGTGAGCTTGTTGGTTATTAGCCTCCTGAAGTCACACTACGAATCATTAGAACTTGGAGGTTTATTCATTTACTTGCTACATATGCACTACGATACAAGTGAAATTTTAGACATCCTCTGCTATAGGAATTTTAGTTTTGGTGAGACACACTACAAGGCTTAAATACTTGTAAAGGGATATAGACCTTGGAGCTTTAGGAAAGCTTATTACATATGTAGTGCTAACCCCGCAGGGGCCAATTGATAATGCTTGTCCCCAGTGGTTACCCTGACCTTGCAAACCTCCCGACACCTCTGATACTCTGGGTTCAGACATATTTCAGTTAGTATCCCTCCTAGATTGTAAGCTCGAAAGAGCAGGGCCCTCGAACCCCTTGTGTATTGTATTGTACTGTTTTGTCTCATGTTCTGTCCCCCTGCTAATGTACAGCGCTGAGCAAACCCTTTGGCGCTATATAAACACTGTATAATAATAATAGTATGAAATAATAATGATAGAGACGTGATTCTTTAGTAATGCCTCTATATTAGGCTTGTTCAAAAGACTAGACCACAGAATGAATGTTTAGGAGGCACATCCTCAGTTAATGCATAAAATCAAAACATTGCTAAAATGGAAATAACCAAATTGCAACAGTTAACAGATTATATGGTAACAAATGGTATGTTAAGACTATGTAACTGCAACACCAGCAGCAGGAGGGGGGAAGAAAAGGCTTGTTGACTCCCTCTGGTCCACCAGCAGCAATAGGAAATGCAAAGAATTATGTAAATAAATTAATATATATAGGTGGAAGGAAGGAAGGGAGGGAGGGAGGGGTGGGTGGAAGAAAGGGGTGGACGGAAGAAAGGGAGGGGTGGGTGTAAGGAAGGGGTGGATGGAAGGAAGGGGTGGGTGTAAGGAAGAAAGGGGTGGATGGAAGGAAGGGAGGGGTGGGTGGAAGGAAGGGAGGGGTGGGTGGAAGGAAAGAAGATGTGCATGGAAGGAAAGGAGGAAGGGGTGGGTGGAAAGCAGGAAGGGAGGGGTGGGTGGAAGGAAGGGTGGATGGAAGCAAGTGGTGGGTGGAAGGAAGGAAGGGTAGGTGAAAGGAAGGGGTGGATGGAAGGAAGGAAGGGAGGGAGGGGTTAATGTATCACCCCAGACCCTAGATGAAATTATCTTCTTCACCCTGCAATCTGGAGGTT